ACCACCCACTCCTCCCCTGACATGTAACCCATCTGGATCCGGTCATCAAGCTGCCCACCGTACTGAGAACTGAAGTTATGGGGGAGGGTCAGGGTGGACGCTTGCTTGGGGGAATAGATGGAGGCCAAGTGGCTGAGAATTGGGGTCAGGGTATCAGGAAGCAGCTTCTCCAGCTGGGGCTGTGGGCCAGAGGCAATTTTCTTGAGGGGGTCCCTGGGCCATCACGGCCGGGGGGGTCTGGGAGGGCCTGGCATGGCTGCCCCTGTGTGGGCTCCGGTGGCATCAGGTCTCATCCAGCAGGCACTGGCGATGGGGAAGAGGACGGTATTGCTCTGGAATGCACTGCGCCATGAGCCCCCTTCCCTCCTACCAGGAGGCTCTGCCATCTCCCTCTGCCCACAGGGTGGGCCTGCGGACCCGGCTCAGAGCCCCCAGGATCCCCAGCTCAGCCTCCTCCTCCCCTCTCTGTGTTCTTCACTAACCGCCTCTCTGGGTGAGTCATGGCTTCTGCCTGACCGCTGCTGGCTGCATCTGCCTGTGGATGCCTGAAGCCCCTTCCCTGCCCAACTGCTCTCCCTAGAAAGGGGCAAAGCCTGGTGATCATGAAGGCCTGGCTCTTCTTGGGTCCCTAGGGAGGGGATGGGCCAGGCCAGCTGTTCTGAGTAGCCACTCAGGGTACATCCCCTGGGATGTCCAACCTGGAGAGGGTTGTAGATCAGAATGAGTGTAGTCTAAAAACCCAACAGCCACCACTGTGTTGTGCTCTATGATCTCATATACTTTCCCAGCGATTCTGTGAGGTAAGCACCATTATCACTCCCTTTTACAGATGGGTAAACTGAGGCACAGAGAGGTGAAGAATGTGTCCAAGTTCATACAATTAAGAAAAGGAAAAGCTTCTTTTTTTAAATCTGTAAAAGATATGTTTTCTCTCTCTCTCTCTCTCTCTCTCTCTCTCTCTCTGGGGAGAGGAGGGGCCAGGCCAGCTGTTCTGAGTAGCCACCCGGGGTACATCCCCTGGGATGTCAAACCCAGAGAGGGTTGTAGATCAGAATGAGTGTAGTCTAAAAACCCAACAGCCACCACTGTGTTGTGCTCTATGATCTCATATACTTTCCCAGCGATTCTGTGAGGTAAGCACCATTATCACTCCCTTTTACAGATGGGTAAACTGAGGCACAGAGAGGTGAAGAATGTGTCCAAGTTCATACAATTAAGAAAAGGAAAAGCTTCTTTTTTTAAATCTGTAAAAGATATGTTTTCTCTCTCTCTCTCTCTCTCTCTCTCTCTCTCTCTCTCTCTCTCTGACACC